TACTCATTGTTTTTGCTACTAACACTGAGATGTTGGCGCATGCATCTCTAATCTGTATCTGATTATTACTAGTCATAGTCGATTATTACTAGTCATAGTCGGTTCCACTCGGATCCTTGGCACCTGTGTATGTCTATAAAGTCATCGGGTAGATTTCAATGGTAATGTTTATCACCTCTACTAATTAACATGACATAAATTTCCATGCTTCCTCCTCAAATATAATACATTTTTTAAAAAATTGTTGATTTTTTTGTGTGTATATCACACAGAACATCCCAAACCATCTTATTTAACTATACACCCACTTCCCAGACGGCCCCCTCCCATAGCCTCCCTCCCTGCCACTAGAGCCTTTATACTCTGTTATCCCTGCTACTGTCTGCTGTGTTGTGAGCACCCCAGCCAATCCCCACTACTTGCCCTTCTGGTGAATCTAGTCAGCCTATCTAGAGGGCTTTGTTTTAAGAGGGTCAGCTGTTCCTCATCTGGTAGCAATCCATTGTCAATACTCCTTTAGATAAGATTGGGGTCTGCTGTTCATTTTCCCAGTTCTATGCTGGGTTACTATCTGGGAGTCCCTTGGGCTACCCTGGCCAACAATTAAAAAGAAGGTATCTCCTATCTGGCATTGTTGCTTGTTACGTAGCCTTTAGCTATACATATGGACTCTTAAAAATTACATTGGCCCCTTTAATCTTTGGTTATGCTTTCCTTTTGGGTGTTTAAGGCCATACAGTTGGCCCAGATAAACCAATTTATTTTTACTGTTAAGGCTGTTTGAGGATCTGTTCCTCAGGGGTCACATGGGCTTGGGAGGAGCTCCTGGCTCTTTTCATTTACCAGTTCCACCTAAGATAAGTCAAAGGTCCTGCTCGACCATGGCTGGCTTCATTTGGAATCATGGAGGAAATCTTTCCTCTGTGTTGACTCTCCTCTTTATAAACTGGACACTGGTTCAAGTCCATCTTGTGGGGTCTCCTCGGCCTCCTTGATAAAGAGGACAGGTGACCCGCCACAATTATAGGACATTGTGAGAGATGCTCATAGTTTCCTGGAACTAGTCAACCTAGGAGGGCAAGGAGCAAAAACGGTCCTTTATGCCCCTCTGACCAAATTTGTATAGGCCTCAAAGTATGCCTGTTAAACGTCTAAGAAGGTTAGTTCCACCAGTCTGGTACTTTTAATTACTGTGTGCCATGTAGATAAATCTTGGGCAAAGACCAATTGTTCTCAGATAAACCTTACCTAGACATATATGTCTTGATTTGCTATGTATAATTTGTCAGGAGGTTGTTGGAGTAATATGGTTCCCTTTAGTTTTCAAAACTAGCTAGGCATTATTTATCTCTCACCTTGTCTCACCCTTCCACCATAGATTTCCGACTTAAGGTGCCCCCATTCCCCCCTTTTCTCCCTTAATAATACCCCTCTCCTACGGTCCTACCTCTCTTGAGCTCCTTCTTTCCCCTTATACCCTAGGTTCCTGGTGTACCCTTCCCTCCCCCCTCCCTTAAACTAAGCCAATTTTTGTCCATATCTCCTGTTTCCTGTAAGGCCTATTTCCTACTGTTCTTCTCTTTCAGGTTCTTTCTTTTCCTTTACCTCCCAGGTTCCTTTCCATTATCCTGGTTTCTGTAGTTATGTCTGGATACATACTCACTTATCAGTGTTTGGTTCTAGGATCCACATATGAGGGAGAACATATGTCATTTTTTTTTTCCGAGTCTGGGTTACTTC